GGGCTGCAAGAAGACCATACCCTGTCTGGAGGATAGTTACTGTATGCCCGTCATGAAAGAGAACCCTGATTATTTTGTTCAATGCGTTAATGGCTGTAAGTATTGGATGTATAATGTCTGTATAATGACCTTGCTGGTAATTTATTTTGAATGTGCTAGAATTAGAATAGCGTGGTTATTTGTTTAAACAAATTATTGATCACGGTGTTTGATATTTACTTACCTGTCTGTCTTTGTTTGACATTAATTTCATTATTCACATATTCTTGGCCTTAATATCGGATGTTTTATTAATAATTTTATAAATAATTATATATTTATATTTAACTATTTATTTATGATTTGTTTGTTTTTCAGGCGAACTCTTCAAGATTGCACCAAAAGTTTTCAAATCAGCTAAATGTTAACCGCAATACAAAAGCTTGTAATTTATTTTCACATTTAAATTGACATTTTAATACTAAAATTAAATAAAATATATTTATTTTAAATGTTATTGGGTACATTAATTCCTACGTTTATGTCAACTAATATTCAAATAGTAATTTATTAAATTTTATTGCCAGTTGGATAACAATGGGTTATAAAACTGACCAAGATAATGATATTTGTAAAAGGGCGTCAGTTACCAATCAGCAAGTGTACTATTTATTAAGTTACTTTATATTTAAAATCATGATATTTAAATTGTGATCTATTTAAATCATTATATTTATATCGAGATTAATAACATTATTTGTACTACAAATGACATAGTTTAATAAATTAAAATAACGCAAAATACTTAAGTATTTGCAATATAAGACAACCATGAACTTCATAAACAAACATTTAGTTGGGAAAAACAGTTTGAGACTTAATCAATAAATTTAACTTTATTGATTGAACAAACTTACGCTCTAACGTTAGTACATTTAAACTTAATTCAATTTACCGTAAATAATCAGTTTTTTGTTGCCTTCCAATGCAACTACAGTTTTAAAAATGTAGTAACATTTGTAAAACAACAGTAAAAACTGTAATTCCAAAATTATGGACAATTATAATGCACAAATACCTCGTTTATATATAAAGATAATGGCGTAATGCCGAATAAGCGTGCCTATAGTTTCTAAAATAAGTTTCTGTAGTAATTCATTATAATTTTACATAAATCTACTCTTATATAACAAATATTTTAAACTGAAATTACATGGTAATTCAAATGTACACTGTGTAAATTTATCATAATCTTGATAGAATATTTATTGTTAATAATATTTATCGTTAATATTCTATCAAGATTATGTAATAAATAAAAACACTTCTAACAAATATCAAATTAAAATTATCTTATTAAATCACATTCCCAATAACCGCACCCGTCGGACACCCCCACAGAATATACACTACATCTACAGTTCAATACAATACAGAATATTCTGTACCCAAAGGGTACATTCAAATTTCGTCCCATTGACAACACACACATACCCTATGGAAAAAGGGCACAACTAATACACAACATACACTACAAACACACCCTTTATGTACATCAAAACACGGATACGTGTCGCTAATTTGGCACTATTTACGCACACATACTATACCTTACACAATACGGGCCAACTATAGCATAAAAAGGTACCGAAACGGAAGGGTATACCGGGTTGTGATGCAAATATTTACCAGCATTTCAAACACTAATCCATCATAAAAAATGTGTTCACAAACACACAGCAAAAACTCATTGACTTTCACGTTATGTTCAGTTAATGTAAATAAAACACTGTTTTGTGTTTGTATTGTGTTTTACATATCATTTGCGACCAATCAATCAGTTTATGATATATACTGTGATAACAGAATCAGTCAATCAATTAAATCAATTAATTAATCAATCGCTTCACCCAATCATATGAGCCTTTGAGAGAAGTCATGCCATTAGAGAGTAATGTGTTGATCGGCGCCGGCATTGCCTTCGGACTACTCGTCGTGGCCTTCAATTCGGCCATTCATAAGATCGAAGAGGGTATGAACAACACACCCACCCCTCCCCTCCTCCACCCTTTCCCCCAACCCTTACCACCTTATATACAGTATAAGCCATACCACTAATGGATACCATTGATATTTAACCCCTAACCTCCTCCCCCTACACCTCACCCACGCCCTACCCCTACCCTCCTGTTGCCCCCACTCAACCCCTACCTCTACCCCAACCCCTGCCACCCAATGTATAATCCATAACAACTCTAACCGATATTTAATTTGGTGTCCGTATTCACAGGTCATGTGGGCGTGTATTACAGGGGCGGCGCCCTATTGGACACGACGTCTAACCCGGGCTTTCACATGATGTTCCCGGTGTTGACCACTTTCCGCTCGATTCAGGTGACCCTTCAGACGGACGAAGTGAAGAACGTTCCGTGCGGTACGAGTGGTGGTGTTATGATCTACTTTGACCGCATCGAAGTGGTCAATATATTACGCTCGGGCGCTGTGTCAGTACACTTATCACCTCAATTAGATCCATACATATACAACACACACATACACACGCTCTCTCTCTCTCTCTCTCTCTCTCTCTC